TTGACTGGACCGGACTGGCTGGACTGGGACTGCTGACTCTGCACGGTGGACCTCCACCACTTGCCCACTTGCCTCGACCTACGGTGGGCTGACTTCCGAAAGGCCACTTCTAGAAACATCTACTTGGCCTTTCGGTACTGTAGCAGCTACGACTCTGCCCTTTCAGGTAAGTAGCGGCTACGACTTTGACCCTTCRGAAAGTCTACARCTAYGACCTCTAGWYTKTCTAGACTCCTACCCAACAGGTCTAMRGTTCGAATCCCCTATACCCTGTAACCTACGACGTCCTACCTATCACTGGCGATCCCACAGGTCGCAGGTTCAACTCTACGGGTTGACACAGGTACTATACACAGGTAAGGTGGGGAACTAGGGATCGAGCCCTGGGATCTGCATCAGCTACTGCAAACTGGTGAATACCGTTTCAATTGAAGCCAGAATCCGCTAAGAAGTGTAACACAACTCACCCACTGGATCAATCAGCCCCAAACCGGATGATGCTAAAGTTTGCAGCCTATGCTCGGCCGTCATAGTGACTCCGACACTGCAATGAGTGGGAGGGCGCTGGCCTGCTGTAACAGCTGCAGTGCATGCCTGGGTGAAGCGGACACTGGTGCAGATCTTGGTGCCATGGTGGTATCAGCAAATATTCAAATGAAAACTCTGAAAATAGAAGTGTAGGGGGTTCCATGTGACCAGCTGGCTACAGCTACGTGCCTCCCCACTGTGCCCTGGGCCGCTTCCCCCTGGCACAGTTCACCATCTTCCGGGCCCCAACGGGCATGCTCAGGGCATACTCACACAGCAGGTCCCCACGGCCATGGTCACACTGCAACCCCAAATCTGCAAAAGTATGCAGATTTGGGACGGGCCAATTTTGAGGTTTTGGGCATGGTTCAGGTCACACACTGCTGTACCTTTTCAGATGGGACACGTCCCCGGCCGTCTGCAGCAAGAACGAATTGGTCCTTCGCTGGTCCTACGGCCCCATTCACAAGTTGTGCCAGGCTCTTGTGAACGAATTTTCACCAACTCTTGAAAAATAATAATAATAGTAATAATAGTAACTAGCTAAGCGCCCGCGGTGCGGGCGGTGCGGGCAATGCCCACAAAAAAAAAAAAACAAAAAAAAAACAGAGTTAGGACCAAACCAACTGCTAAATTTCAGCATTGTTAACTAATTCAAGGAACAGAAGAGCGACAGAGAAAGGGAGAAGGAAACAGAGAGAAAGAGAGGGAGAGAGGAGGAAGAGAGATAGAGAGACACAGATAGAGAGAGACAAAGGAGAAAGAAAAGAAGAATGCGATTGGAGTGCCTTGGTCGGAAGGTGCGATCAGTAGGTGCTTGGATTGGCGCGGTCGAGTGACTCGGTGTGTAGGTGCTTGGAGTGGCTCGGGGTGTAGGTGCTTGGAGTGGCCTAGTCGGTAGATGCTTGGAATGAGTCGGTAAGTAGGTGCTTGGAGTGGCTCGGTCGATAGGCACTTGAGCCGCTCGGTCGGTAGGTGCTTCGAGTCGCTGGGTCAGTAGGTGCTTGGAGTGGCGGGG